CTAAGTATCCATAAAATGTTTACATAAATGGAAATGTTTACTAGAAATCGAAAGCATTAGAGATCGTCGAACACTTGCCACTATGCCAACCACTGTCATGCCTCGATTTTAACCTGTAAAATTATTTGTAGGGATGAGTACTATAAATAATACTTAGTAGGAAGCACTTAAGTAGATGATAAAAATATATATTTTCAGAAATGCAAACTTTATTCGATTGTGTCAACGTCAATTTCAAGCGAATTGGTGATCAGTCAGCCCGCTTACTTTTAGGTTTTGATAACCCCATTTCATTTATCATAATCATCTCTTCATATCTTGTATAAACCACCAAACGGTGATTCCATCATGAGTAACACAATAAGAAGTTTAACGCAAACGAAAACATATAAATCTTAAATCACTTACAAAAGCGCCGAAACACCCCTACCTTAATGTTTGGAGTTTGAATATTCTTTCGTGTCCAAAGGAATAAAAAGCAGCGCACTTCTTCCATTTTCTTTAGAAATTTTAGATTTAAAGTACTTTATGTTGATGAAAGAAAAAAAGGCGAAATAACTTTATGCATGAATATGATAGTTTGGGCAATAAAACATGGCTAAAGGAGTTGAAATTGAGAAGCCGGCTGAGCATGCCATTCCATTTACACCAGAATTCTGTGTCTGTACATGAGAGAGAGAGATGGGATTATAATAAAACGTTACTTATACGTGTGAGTTGGGGACTTTTAAAATAAAAGGGCAATTTTAATTCAAATTCTAAGTAAAGCAGCGGTGGTAGATGTATTTAAAAAAAATGCAGGTTACACTCGAAGAAATGGGGGTAGTGGTTGTATTTAAAATTGGAGGTTACAAAAGTAAGTGGGGAGGTTAAAATTTAAAATATTGACTTTCAAATTGATATTGAACAGGACGTACAGTAGCCTCCAAACTCAATAGCAATTGATGATTATGGTGGTTAATTGTAAGTTGGAATGGTAGTTTTATAATTAATATTTTGGACCATAAAAAGACAAAAACTTCCAAATTCAAATGGCAAAATGGGATAGGGACGTGCCATTATAATCCTTTGAATTCATATGGCAGTTTACGGGAATCAAATTGGTTCGTGAGATAATCAAACACTAAATGATAGTTTTTCATTATAAAAAAAATGAAACTAATTGGCAAAGTAGTTAATAGGTTTGGAATTTATTAATATGCAAAGTGGGTGGGGGGCGTTATGGCCTTTTTGAAATGTTAGTTTTCCAAGAATAAGTATGCACGTGCCTTTAGAAATTGTGGGTGGTTATAGTTTTGAAATGTTAATCTTCAACGAATGAACAGAGCACGTAACTTCCCAATGATTTAACGACAAAATTTTATTTATATAAATATATATCTTTTGATAGTTAACAACAAATAAAATGGAAGTTTATTAAAATGGTAAGTTGGAGTATAAATGATGGATGATGAAACATGCAAGTAATTTGTCCAATTTCAAAAAAAATAAAAAATAAAATAATTTACATAATGGAAACCGAAATGTTAGTATTAAAATAAAGTGTGTCGTAAGAAAAATAAAGTAACCAAATTAACATAAAATTTTGTCGATTAATAGAGATTTTAAAACCTTGTAAAATTTAAGAAAATCAAGTATGCGAAATTTTACTTTCATAACCAAAGTTTAATTTGAATTATTAGGAAGTGTCGTAGCGACATAATAATGACTCAGATTATATTTGAGTCCCATAAAAAAAATTTATTTTGGGGCAAAACAAAAAAAATATATATATTTTTTTCGATCGCTACAGCTACCACCGCCAACAACCACAACCGTCATTTGCAAATTGACCCCAATCTGAAATTGCAAGCAGGGCCCTTCAATTTTACAACACTAGAACCCCTGCACAAACCCTAATCCCCCCTTCTCTGCGGCACCGCACTGCAGCAACAGCAGCACCCGGACGCTGCTTACGCGGCAACGGGCGGTGGTGACGGGCGCGGCAATTGTGTTAGTGTGATTATGATTTGGGGAATGGGTAAAAGAATAAATTAGGGTTTGTAACACTTTCTTTATTCTTGAATTGATGAGTTGAAAAGTACGTCTGGGTAATTTCAACTTTAAAATCGTAATCAGTAAAAAAAAGGACTAGAATTTATTCTTCTTTTACGGAGTAGCGTTACCTAAAAGCAAATAGAACCGCCAACAGAGCTTGGAGTCCATCATAAAACATCCATTTCTACGCTCTATCTTTGCTAATCTTCACCTGTCAACACACAGGCAGATCGGATAATAATTCAGGCAAGTCCAGATTTTTGCTACAGAATCATATGTATACACGTAATGTTCTGATTCAATCTGTGGATATTTCATTTTTATAGTATTTTTTTAGTTATTTTGTATTGAATTGATTGAGTATTCATAGTTATGCACTTATGCTGCAATTTTCCTGTTACTCCGTATGCATTTTGTATGATTAGATTCGTATATGAATGCAATGATCACGAGAATTCAGTTGATCAGCTTCACTGAATAATTTATAATTTAGCTGATCGAGTTTCGATTTGTTTTGCTTTTGTCAATATATTCTCTCTATTAATTGATTTGAATTAAATGTATACACGTGATGTTCTGATTCAGTGTATTGATCTCTCATTTTTGTTGTTTTTATGTTTTAATTTGTGTTGTTTCCATCCATACTTTTTATAAGTACATCTCACGCTAAGTTAATCCCTAATAAAATTTGAGAATTTTAAAAAAATACTATTAACATCCACGTCATTTCTAATTTTGCTCTTATTAAATCCATTCATTTAAATATTATATATCTACGTGAATTTTATATTCATTCTACTTTAAATACATTCCTAACACTATAGATTCATATAGTTTCTAAAACCATAAACTCTTTCAAAACAAATGAATGAAATAATAACAAAACAAGGGATATTTAAAATGAGATAAAATAATTATAATTGAATTACAAACAATAATCGTTTCTAACATTTATGATTGGTAAACTCGTCATTATATCCGAGACGACAATTTTTTTTTTTTTTTTGGCCCAAAGAAGGCAATTTTATCTTTAAAGCAATCATACAAATGATAACGTTACTAAATCATCCGTCGGATGTCAAATTTCTATACGAATAAACTTAGAATAATATTAAAAAAAAAAACATAAAGTCAAAAACAAATTTCAGTTTCTCAAATCCCAATGTAGCTCTCTCTCTCTCTCTCTACTTTTTATAATCACTCATTTTCCACTGTAGCTTTCTTCTCGTTTCCAGTTCTTTGATTTTCTTTTGCCAAATTTGGGAATGGAGGTTAATTTATTCCAATCTTTAGTGAGATAACTTAATCAGATTCCTAATATGCTGTGTAATGGACAATAATTGCAGAAAAACTGCTAAAGAACTAACATGTAAAAGAGCATGAAGAGGGGCGATGACAATCCTCTGAATCTGGATATTTTTTCTTCATTGCAGCAAAAGAAATGCATAGGATGAAGGCAGATGATATTTTGGGGAAATCTGTTTTGGGGAATTTGTAAGGAAAATATTGGAATATGAATTTTAAAAAAATACTATTAACATCCACGTCATTTCTAATTTTGCTCTTATTAAATCCATTCATTTAAATATTATATATCTACGTGAATTTTATATTCATTCTACTTTAAATACATTCCTAACACTATAGATTCATATAGTTTCTAAAACCATAAACTCTTTCAAAACAAATGAATGAAATAATAACAAAACAAGGGATATTTAAAATGAGATAAAATAATTATAATTGAATTACAAACAATAATCGTTTCTAACATTTATGATTGGTAAACTCGTCATTATATCCGAGACGACAATTTTTTTTTTTTTTTTTGGCCCAAAGAAGGCAATTTTATCTTTAAAGCAATCATACAAATGATAACGTTACTAAATCATCCGTAGGATGTCAAATTTCTATACGAGTAAAATTAGAATAATATTAAAATTAAGAGAAAAAACATAAAGTCAAAAACAAATTCCAGTTTCTCAAATCCCAATGTAGCTCTCTCTCTCTCTCTCTACTTTTTATAATCACTCATTTTCCACTGTAGCTTTCTTCTCGTTCCAGTTCTTTGATTTTCTTTTGCCAAATTTGGGAATGGAGGTTAATTTATTCCAATCTTTAGTGAGATAACTTAATCAGATTCCTAATATGCTGTGTAATGGACAATAATTGCAGAAAAACTGCTAAAGAACTAACATGTAAAAGAGCATGAAGAGGGGCGATGACAATCCTCTGAATCTGGATATTTTTTCTTCATTGCAGCAAAAGAAATGCATAGGATGAAGGCAGATGATATTTTGGGGAAATCTGTTTTGGGGAATTTGTAAGGAAAATATTGGAATATGGGGTGGATGAAAATAGTATTTTCTTAAAATTTAAATTTTTTAACCGGGATGAATTTAAAGTGAGATGCACTTATAAAAAGTGTGGATGCAAATAGCGGTACCCTTTATTATTCTTATTCGAATATATCTCCTATATATTAATTAAGTTTTTTGGGATTCATTATATATCTTTATTTTGCAATCTGTTTCCTGTTCCTGGAATTTCCCCTCTTTAAGAGAAGGTATTTTTGGGCTGATATTTTATTTTCTTATACTGGTTTCATGGAGGACTTAGGATTCGGCATAAGATAAATGCCGTGTGGCTCATACCGTAAAGTTCCATGTCCCCACATTTATTACTTCTGCAAGTATTGATTTTTCTTTTTGGAAAATTTTTTGAGTGTAGTTAAGCCAGAAAAATGGAGGGGACAGTCTTCACTCAGGCTCTGGAAGGAATGAAGCATGTCAAGTCAGAAGAGGGGGTGATGCTCACCAAACCTTTCCTTAATGTTTGCAAGCAAATTTTACCTGTTATAGGTATATGTTTACGTTCATTTATCAGATTCCGTTTTTGTTTTGGAGTTCATTTTGTTTAATTAAACAATTAGACAGGCCATTGAGTATATTTAATTTGAAGTTCAAATTATCGCTTGGTGAAAGATTTCTGACCCAGTAATGCTTCATGCTGGATGTAGTCGTTTGGACAGTGCCTATAGTTTGCCATTACTTATTAGTGCTTGAGATGAAGATCCATGTCTTCTTACAGCATGATTTTTAAGATGCCAATAACTGAAATTCTTTGATTCCCTTATGCGTGAAATCTATAAACTGACGACCATTCCATGTTTGGTAGTTGGAATGAAATTTGCATTCTATACTCTCAACCCAGGGTTAGAAGCTATAGCATACAATTTATGGAAAATTATATGCATACAGGGTCTGGAGGTTTGGGTGTGAATTCTACATGAATGAAGCCATTTATTATCATCTCCCACAATTTCTCTAAACTGCAAGCTCTTTTCAAAATTTAAAAAAAAAAATGCCTGTTCATGTAACGGAACGACCAATGGATTTCATTTTGTTTATACTAATTAATACCAGGCTATGTGTTAGTAATGCATCTGCTATACTTGATATTTCTTATTTGCATGTTAGCATAAAGGTTCTGTTTCAGTCTTGTTTTTCTCAGATCTCTGGGTAAATTTGTTAGTTTGAAACGGGGGTGTTATAATAATGCCTCTTCCACTCGAAATGTATAGTCATGTTCCTTCTGGCCTGGCTTATGCTGTTTGGCTCATTTTTATCATGCGCTCAATGCAGACAAGTTTGGACCTGCAATGGCACTTGCCAAATCTGATAATGGTGGTAATATAATCGTGAGACTCTATCCCTCCATTCTTACGGAAATAGAGCTCGTTCTTTTTGTTTCATTAGCTTGTAAATTGATGAATGTGTTCACATATGAGATTTTGTAATAATTTTTTGAATTTAATGTTATTTATATATCCCTTTTCCAAATGTTGGGATTTGGTTGATTTCCCGCTTAACTTGTTTGCACCCTGAGATAGAAATTGGGGTTGAAGTATCAGTTATTAGAGGCTGCTTCTGTAGCTGTAGAGTCCTGAATATGTTCTATTCTTCTTTATGCATATGGATTGACCTATCTTGGTGATATCTTCCTTAAAATAGTGTATTAGTTCTTTAACTTTTTTCACTTAAATTAACAAACCAATGTGTGTCGACTATTTGTTAACCCATTCTTTTCTCTCAAATTTTTTTTTTTGGCTTTATTATCTAACCAACTTATATCTTCTCATATTTTCTATAGAGGTTAGAAAACAAGTATTTGTCCAACCCTACACAATATAACCACTTGTACAGCATGGTACAAGAAGAGGCTAAGACAGCTAAAGGTTCATCCAGTTGTGCTGATGGTCTTTTGTGGTTGACGAGGTAAGTAAAAATTTACAGCTTTCACCTTCTCTTTGCTTCCAGGTATAGCATTTTATTAGCTTTTTTTTTTTCCATTCCAGTATACACCAGCATAATGCCTTCTAGCTGCCATTCACTGAACGCATGAAAAATGTAAATATTAAGGATCACCTCTTCCAAAACCACATGGAAAAATTCTTCATGGGTAAATCAACACCAATGGCCTGTTGATGACTTCCTTAACCACTTTTTAGAAACGAGTGAGAAAAACAGTCCTTGTTTAGAAAGATATCCTCATTTGTTGGCATGATCCTTTTCTTTTTTTCAAAATTCTGCTGTAATTTTGAAGTTTTCACAAGGAAAATCAGGAAACTAAAGTTTGTTGAGGCTTCACAACTTGACTAATGCCAAAACTCCTACTCTAACATGCTTGCGTGAATAAAGAGTATATATGTTAAACATACACAAACATTGTGATATTTACTAGCATGAGCTTGTGTGTTTCTGAAGAATGATGTATTCTAGTATGAGTCAACTTGTGCATGAACTCCTTAGGGCAATGGATTTCTTGGTGGGATTGTTTCGGAATCTATTGGAGCATCAGGATTGGTCCATGTCCCAAGCTTGCAGTGATTCTTATGGCAAGACGCTGAAAAAATGGCATGGTTGGCTGGCCAGATCAAGCTTTACGGTAAGTGCTTTTTTTTTTTTTTTTTGATAAGTACTTTACGGTAAGTGCTTTTATATGATATGATGTTTTAAATTTTAATGTTTATTGCTTGAATTTTTTTGACTTTCAATGAGTCAAGTCAAGATTTTCTTTATAGAGGCCACTTAAATTGTAATCAATAATTAAGGGATATCGTCATTTATACCTAGAGATGTTTTGAAATTGAGTACTCAATAGCTCAAATAATTCGTGTAAAAAGGTTCGGTTAGTTAGCCACAACGTCAAAGCTCCCTCCATGTCCGTAATAGATAGAATTTGATAATTTTATACATCTTAACCACTGTATAATTTGAAGTGACATAGAAGGCCCTGGTGGCCTCCAATGTTCTATTTGCCAGTTCCGCAGCACATAGATCAAAGAGCAGGAGCATCTTTCTTATTCACATGTTTTTAATAATGTCGTTCATACTTTCTCATGGCTTACAGATTTATCATCCTTCCCCTCGGTTGAATTTTTCATATAGCAAGTATTCGTGCCATATTTCATGCCCATCCCTTAACCAAAAGGAAAAGTAGTTGCCAGAGCTTCGATTCTCCTGAAGGCGTGCACGGAAACAGAAATTGGAATGTTAACACACGTTTTCTGATCTTTTCACTTTACGGTCGGGTATATCTTTTCAAATGCTTATCCCAAATTGCAATTACAGGTTGCCATGAAACTTGCCCCTGATAGGAAGAAGTTTATGGATGTCATAGGTGGCAGAGGCGATGTTAATAGTGATATGAAAAAATTTTGCACCACTTTCTCACCATTTCTCGAGGAGAACCACAAGTTTTTGGTAAGTTCTCTAGCTAGAAGAATCTTAAGTTTCTATTCATCCTTTGTTCCCCGATTCTCACTAAGAATTAAATGAAAAATAAACTATGCGGGAGGCTTAATTCAATATGTACACATGTATACACAAGTGCAGTAATTTGTTGTTTTCTCCTAGCAGGCTAGCGTTGGAATGGATGTTATTAAAGCATCTTAAACGGTGGTTTTATAATGCTTTCAGCAGTAGTTCTTGGAGTTCATCAATACTAATATCCGTGCCATGCTTTAAGGTTTTCTATTTAAGGAATAATGGAAACATGTAATAATGCACTGCATACTAGTTTTTCGATATGGGAATCTACAGTCTATAAAGTTTTCTATTTAAGGAGCTAAGCTATGAATTTGGGAAATTTAGTTTAAATTGTGAGTTTTTTAATTTAATGTGGAATCTTGACTTCCTTTGGATAATAGGAACATGTTGTTGATCTTGATTTTTGTGCATACAACGTGGTCGAAAGATCTCAAGGCCTCTCGCATCTATGCGAGCCTATTCCTGCACATTGCGACAAACATTAGCCACACGTGGCCTTCTTCAGCTGTGGAGGAGGCGGCCACGCGCACTCCAGACCAAGTGAGTTGAAATAATATATATTTGAGTATGGAGGTGCTTTGGACACGAGCCTCTTATGTTAAAAAAGGGGTTCGATTTTGAGAGAAATATATGTGCGTAAAGAGAGCAACAATTACATGTTGAGAGCATAAATTTGTATTACCTCTAGAATGACACATTGTGTGAGTTTTTACAGTATAAAATGATAAATAAGAACCGTAGGATGTAAAGACTCGTGATGTCATCCAAATGGTTGTGGCCTCTTATCATAGTTATCAATCAATCATAAGCATTTAATGTTAATACTATTTTGTTGCCCAAAACCCGACTTGACTTAGATTTGACCTTTTTGGTTGGGTGAGGTGACAGTAGCAGTGAATTATCACATCACCCACTTATTGAAGATTGTATGAAAAATCTTTCGTCAAGCCCACATTAACCTCGCCTCATCTATGGAGGTTCGGTTTATAGGGTTGACTTCAGCAAATGAGTTCAGCCTCTTCGTAAGGGTTTGACTAGAATTGCCACTTGACAGAATGACCTGGAGTGCAGGCCTAGGTTCTCTTGCAATGTTATTGCCATGTGGTCTTAAAGCCTCACCGGTAGAGACATAACATATGGTCATCCTGTGAGATGGAGAAATTTGATCTCGAGTTTGTGATATTTGTCTAATCGAGCCTTGCTTGTGTTTAGTTAAAAGTTGATAAAAGTAAAAGTTAAGAGTCAAAATATAATTTTAGTTACACATTTTTATGAAGTTCACAACTTTCGTAAACTTTTAAACCATATATTTCATTATTATTTTTATTTTTTATCAACAATTATTAAAAATGCTTTTTTTTAAAAAAAAAAAAAACAAAATCAAGCTGGGGCTAAACGTGGTGGATGAGAAAGCATTACGAGTTGTCCTTGTTAAGTAATCAAGGATGTCATAAACTACTTGATTAGAGGTGGGGACTATGATCCTTGTCTTCATTCCGATTCTCCAGGGAATGGGAGCAAGGCATTTTACCATTACTACTGGCAATGGATCTTATATTCAAACTATTCTTATATTAATAATTTAGAGTTGGTCGAAAAATATTTTGATACAGCAGCAATGGCCTTATCTTTCCTTCCATTTGGCAGATTTAATTTACTGCACCTCAAGACAATTAATTTTTCATCTATAAGAAACCAAGAATAATTAGCTCTTATTGTGTTTCTTATCAAATAGAAAAATACAAGAAAAAAATAATTTATTTTTTAAAAACCACAAACAAATAAAGTAAGTATTAAATTTGCTTTTCCAAATGAACAAGAATTGGTTTAGAGTTAACTATGCTAAATCAAGCATGCTTGAAATAACTTTTCCGAGTAAATAAAAACTGGGTCATTTTTAATTATTTTTTAGAAGCTTATTTATTTTTCGCACCTAAATTTTCTCTTTGCTTCTGGTTTTCCTTAACAGCCATCAGGAACCAACAAAGCAATGCCATTGAATTGAAAGGTTTTGTTTTCACAGCAATTTGGTTGGGATATTTGTATATTTTATTCACATCATTTGGATGTAAAAATACGAAAATAAGCAACCCAAAAAGGAGGTTTATATGTTTTATTTTACAATTATTTTGAGTCTCTCTTCAACTTCATATAATAAGGATTGGTGCATAAATTAATCCATGGAGTGGCACTCATTTTTCTTGCAAAGGGTTGGTTTTGTCATGGCTTCCTAAGTCCATTTCATCCATAATCAATCCATGCATGTTTCTTGAATTAGAAGGAGCTAATAATAAATGGGGACGAAGATGAAGGGTCTTTTGAAAGGTCTTCGATACATTTCTCAGATATTCGGTGAGTATTTGTATTTTGATCCTCTTATCTTGATTTTTCGAATTAAGAAATCTTGCAGTCGTGATCCTATTGTGCGTACAATTTATTTTCCAATTGTATAATGCAGAGGAGGAGAAAGAAGCAGAAATGCAAATTGGGAATCCCACAGATGTAAAACATGTGGCTCATATAGGATGGGATGGCCCTTCTGCTTCAATTGAAAATTCACCAAGCTGGGTATAAATTCCCATCAAAATTTTCCCCTTTTTTTGGTTAAAAATAATTAATCGATAATCCCATATATTTAATGAAATATTAACAATTATTAATGACATTTAATTGCGTTATTATGTGCTGATTATGTTTGCAGATGAAAGAATTCAAAGAATCAACAGGAGGATTCCAATCAGCACCTTTAGGGGAACCTGGAGACTCTAAAGAGAACCCTGAAGTTAAATGGGTTTCTGAAGGTTTGGTTATGTTTATTTTATGTGCAATGAAATTTTTGATTCATTAATAAAGTTATGTTTTCGAAGATTTGAGCTAAAACAAGAATAAGACTATCGTGTTTAAGATTGTGTAAGAAGTTGTCATACACATCATAATATTGGAAACTCCAACCATTTAGATACTACAGACATGATTAAAAAATTGTTGATTCTTGTTTAGTACTGTCTAGTTCAGTATATCAATACTTTTTGCTCTATTGAAACATTTTTCTTTTGTAGATTCGAAAAAAGGAAGCAGAGAACTACC